AGGGGCCAGCCCGCAGCCTCAGAACAGAAAGAAGAGGACCCTTGTGTGCACGGAACAGGTCACTCAGGTTCCCAAGGAGAGAGGAGGGAGTCAGGACTTCAGCAGGGATGGGAAGAAAAACAGTGCAGTCTCCAGGGCCGCACAATGCTGGAGCGAGTGCTGCTGCTGCTGCTGCTACTTCCTCAGGGTTTTTTTGATCCAGGGCAGGTAGTTGGAGATGCGGGTGTAGACCCCGGGTGGGATGGCGTACCCAAAAGAAACGATGCCTTGTGCCACCTTATTGCATACCAGGGGCCCACCAGAATCTCCCTGAGGACAGACGAGAGACTGGTTTTAGAGGCCTAAAAGAGAGGTTCCCACTGATCTCCAGACCTGTGGGAACAGGTTTCCCCTTTGTGCCTCCCTGCCCAGGTGCCGTCGGTGGGGCCGTGTGTCTGCTCCGGATCTGTGGCTCTACCCCTGCCCCGCACACCCACCGAGCTGGAGCAGAGAAGCTGGGGCTTTACCCCGGGACTGCGCATGGACTGTGGTGTCAGGGCAGCCAGAGAGCTAGTCCACACGGGAGCTACAAATCAAAAGCTTGTCACCTCTCCTGGGAACCAGCTAAGTCTGTGCCAGCAGCAGCCCCTGCCTGCCCCGCGGCCAAGCCCCCAGCCTGTCGGCAGCCAGCCTGTCGGCAGCCCGTCCCTGGCTGGAATCTCTGAGCTCGTGGAAGCTGCCAGCACAGACCATGCCAGTGTCGAGATGAGGATAGAAGTGGATGCATTTCCTGCGGCTGTAGATGGAGACTTTGGTTTCAAAGAGCTTGTTGGTCACCTGGTCTTCATCGATCAGGCCCCACCCGGCTATGCTGCACTTGGTGCCCGTGGGGAGGTCGCTGCCAGTCTTGGGCAGCGGAATGGTCTTGATGTAGTCATTCAGAGTGGCCTTCGCTGAAAGCTGGGAGAAAGCAAGGTTTTTGGAGAAGGCTATGAGGAGAACAGCTGAAGAACACTTTGCGCACAGAGGTAAGGGAGTTCTAGCAGAACATACAGCACTGCAAGTTCTGGTGAGCTGCTGCGAATAAGGCATGTGGCTCTGAGCCCTGCCCATGTTCCCTCCCAGGTCCCTCCCATTCCTGTCTGCCTCCAGCACTCACGGGCAGAAGCAGCTGATGGTCTGCAGAAGGAGCTAACAGCAAGAATGTGCTCTGCCCAGAACCCTGCTAGACCCACAGCTCCACTCTACCCTCTGCCCCACTGCCTGCTGCAGGACTGCCTTGCCTTGAGTAGCATGATGTCGTTAGAATAGGTGTTGGGGTCGTACTCAGGATGCTGGTGGTATCTGAGAACTCCCCGGATCTGCTGGGTCGTTTCTGGTTCGTTGATGTTGTGAGCCCCCAGGATGACTGTGGCCTTCTGAGTGTGCCATTCCTGGCCGTGGCAGCAGAGGAGAGAAGGGGGAAAACAGGTTGGGTCTCACCTGCATCCCTCCCATTTTGCAGGCAGGTGGGGAGAGCTTCTAAGCACAGGTGGAAGAAGGACCTACTCCAAAATTGCTCCAGTGATGGACCTCACAGGTTAGGGGAGGAAGAAGGGGTTAGAGCCCCTGTATGAAGTACTCACCCCATGCAGTGTGCGGCTGTCATCACCCAGTCAGGGGCCACCAGGAAGCCTCCACAGGCAAACATCCCTACCTTCAGGTATGCCATGTAAGGGTGGGAGTGGGGCTGAGCCTCATGACCCCCCACAATCTGACCCCGTAGAGCATCTGCAAGACACCCCACCACAGGATGAGCCAGTGGTTGCTGAGGTCAGAGCCCAGACCACCAGCCTCACTCACAGCAGCTTGCAGCACCCCAGCTTACTGGCATTGGCCCATGGGCAGGAAAGCAGGACCAGCAGGGCCAGCTGGGGCTGGCACATCTCTTCACACAGGTGGACACTCCTTCCAAGATGTATGGAAGTCTGAGTCTCCTAGTGCCCAAGAGCTCGTTTTATACCCTGGGACCAGCTGTACCCAGCAGCCAGGAAACCATGTGCGATGTCCTGATTGTGCTAATCAGAGCAGTGCAGCATCCCTGCAGGTCTATCTGCATCTCTGCTGCCCCAGCCTGCTCACTTCCCCCACGTGCCCTGAGGTTGTGATTGATGAGTGATAAAGCAGGACTAGAAAGGCCAGGGCAGGGAAGTCATGGTGTGCCACAGTCCCAAAGCCTCAGGGATACTGACTGGGAGAGGTGTCCTAGGGTATTTTTGAGGTGTGATTTAGCCTTTCTCCCATAGTTTGGCTGCAAGACAAACCACATCCACCTGCTTCAAAGCAGAGTGTCTTCAATCAGGCTGTCTCATACTGTACTCATACAGTAGGTCATGGCACTTGCTCCTGGGGGTGGCCAGGTCACTTCAGGCTTTGTCGGCAAGCACGATGACTGCAGATGCTCTTTCACCTCTATGGTTTCCCCACTGCAGCTGGTCTGGCCATGGGCACATCTGTTCAAATGGGACCAGGGGAAGTCTTCATCTGCCCTGCTCTGGATTCTCCGCACCCTCCCTTCCCTGACCTGAAATTGCCTGCAAACCAGGCTGCAATTGGTGTCTTCACCTTGCCCCTAGCAAAGTGTGGTTTGGTTAAATGCCTAACTGGGCACCAATCCTGCTGCGCTTGTCCCTTCCTGACCTTGTGGTCCTGAACAGAAACTGCCATTGGGGTGCCACAGATGACCCTGTTTCAAAGAGGTGACCAAATCTTTGTGCCAAGGGCACGGACCTGGCGCTCAGGACACCTGCATTCTTCCTATTCCTGGCTCACACACTGCTTAGCTCGTGGCTGTCTGCTCTTTCCTTCTGACCTTTGGGCCTCCAATTGCCTAAGTGTGTCCTGCCATGGCAGCTGAGACTGTCCTTTGTAGAAAGAGCTGCCTGACTCTCAGGCTGCAAGCTCAGAGGGAGCTGTGCCATACAGTCCTTTGTTGTTTAAAGTTGTCCTTCCTGTTTGCACTTCCTAGCCCTTATCTACCTTCGTTTTCCCCACTGCCAGGTTGTCCCAGTTTGCTGCATTGTTTCTCGCTCCCTGGAGATTGTCTGGGCAGTTGTGTGCCCACAGCAAAGCGTAAATCTATTAGAATGCTGTGTGAAGTGTCTGCTCTGCACACTGCATACTGGAAGGACATCTTTTCCATGTTCACAGACTTTCAACAACTCTTGACTCTGCTCCAGCACAAGAGTTGTTGTCCAATGGGTTGGGGACAGCCACAGCAGAGAGGGGCCACAGAGCATGTGTCAGAGTGCCGCACTGGAGCTGTGCAGCCTCTCTACTGCCAGAAGGACACAAGCTGTCATGAGAGCGCAGTCAGGTTCTGCACTCCTCCTGCACCCAGCCTCATCCCTCCTCTTTTGAGTGTTGTTCAGGATTAAACCTCCCTCAGATGGTCTCCAGAAATTTACTCTGAGCCTGAAGTCCAGCCCTTTCTGCTGCTTTGCCCCATCGGCACCGAAGTTTGGCTTACGGGCAAACCAGCAGGCAACGGCCCCGCCACAGCCACTGCTCATCCCCAGAGGCTGTGCTTATGTGACAGGAGGGACAGAGCCCAAGAACGTGGAAGTGCCACTGGCTCGTATGAGCACTTGCAAGGTAGGACAGCCAGGTCTCTGGCCAGCATGCTAGTTGCTAAAACTGCTCTCCTTTCATGATGCCCAGTGAAGCTGTGGGCAGCTGCTAGCTATTCTTAAGCAAAGTAGCTACTCCAAAACACCTTCCTACTGTGCAGATGAACAATTTGCTATTGAAAGGATGGGGACAGCTGGGAGGTAGGGTATAAGGTCTCCTTTTAATCCCTGGAGTACTTTCAATCTGGTTCACCTAGGCAGGAATCCTCCCAGAAGCTCTGGCTGAGGTCAGTACAGGTTCTCTGTAGACGTCTGGTTTAAATAAGCTAATTTGGGCCTGTAACTGCAGCCACGAACTGATGAAAAAACACAACAAAGGCAACAGAACAATTAGCACTCTGAGGCTTCAGTGTTGCCCCTTTTCCCCCCCACCCCCCCAAATCCTTGGTTCTGCTATGGGGGATTTTTCTACCCAAAGACCCTGTCTGTGTGCCCATTCCCTGGGACATTTTCTGCCAACGCTCCTCAGGGGCCTGCGCATCGCTTGAAGAAAATGAGGCTTGCTTTAATCCTAAATCACCATCTCTGGAGCAGTCTCTGGTTACCTGTCCTAATGTAGGTCTGTGAGAAATGGTTTCAATTCAGCTGTGCCTGCCCAAGACATGATACCAGCTTTGCATCCTGCTGAGTGTGATTTCAGGTTAAAATACACATACAGCTCCAAGGCTCCCAGCAACGGAGAGCGGATCAGGAGGAAGACCTGTCCTTAAAAACCCTTTTGGCACGCAGTAAGGGTGCCGCTTCGTGTAGACATGCCCTGCACGGGCAATGCTGCCGGACCTGGCACAAGCACAGTGCTTAGGTGCTGTCGTTGCCTCTGCCCTCAGCGTGCCCGGCGAGCTGGTGCTGGTTTGATTTTGCCATCTTGGGTAAGATACATCCAGCACCTGCTCACAGGTCAGAGAGGCACACCACTTGTCTCTCCCAGCCCTTCCTCCCCTGGCCAGTACTCATTGCTCCCAGCCCGTGCTCGAAGCTGGGGGACTCTGGGCAAGCTGGCAGCAGGGTACCCATGCTGGGGGCACACGGGCAAGCTGCTGGAGGGCACCAGGGAGGCAGTGAGGCTGATCTGCCGGTTAGTCTGCATTGCTGGGAGGAGGGCATTTGAGGGAGAGCTGTGGTATGAGAATGGAAAACCCCTGAAACGGTTCCTGGAAATAAAATCAGAGTATGTGTGTAGGTATAAACAAACCAATAGATAAATATATTGCTCTCTTACTTCCCAGAGCAGTCTCCAGCACACCAGAAGAGCCACTGGGCTCATGGTAGGGCTGTACTAACTCGGGCAGGGAGCGTGGACTATCCTGCATGCTAGTCCTCGGGCATCAGGATTTTTGTTTGATTAAAACCTTACTCCCAAATACAGGGCTCCCACTGCGCTCTGATCCAAAGTTTCTCTCTGTGAGCAGCAGCTCTCTCCATGAGCCTGCATCCTACAGTAGGGAGGACCTGTGCAAAGGTCTTGCTTTCTCCTTGATCCCAGTGGCGCTGAGCTGAAAGCTCCAAGCTCGGATGCCCAGAGCCATTTGAGTTTCCTTATTGCTCTGTAACAACCAGTGGGTCAGCAGTACCAGGGCCAGTCTATACTACAGACAGTAGAAACCAAACAGCAGTTCTCTGCCCCAAACCGCTTAGAATTCTTATGTATAACAAGCAGAGAGGAGAAACAGCAGGTGGAGAAAGCGATGCCCAGGATGTTAAGCAGCAGAGCTTGGGATAAATTTACGCTGTCCAGACACAGTTCAGCAAGCACCCGCCCTGCTGCCGGTAAACACATTGCCCCTGCCCCAGCCAGGCAGCACTAACCACAGGGAGGTGTGTTGCTTGTCCTTCCTCAACAGTGTTCAGATTGTTTCAAACCAGCCCGATTTCCTCTGCGTGATGCTTGGCACCACACCCCTGCCAGCTCCCCCTTGCGCAGGCATCACCCTGCGGTTTGCGCTAGCCCTCCCTGGCCCGTTTCCTGTGTGACGACTGGTTCCTCCCTGCCATCCCCTTGTGAACTTTGGAAGAAACACCTCTCAGCTCTGAGCCTGTGGGGACAAGTCTGGCATTGAGCTAGATCTTGCCCCAGAGGGTGCAAAGCAGCGTTGATGAGCTCGCGTGAGGGATTTTATGGGTCCTGCACAGGGCACCCTAAGCCAGAGGCTCCAGACAGATCTCTGGAGCAGCCTCATGGCCTTGGTCACACCATGCTGACCATGGCTGGCCATGCCACGCTGAGTGGGGGTGGCCCTCCCTCCTGGGGCCGTGTCTGCTCATTGGAGATGTGGTTACAGGGCAGAAGACGCTAGGGGAAAGCTGAGCTTGTCCCAGGAACAGCAGGACAGCCAGTGCTGGGCATGGTTTTGGAGACCAGGTGCTGAGCTGGTCCAGCTTCTCCAGCCCCTCTGAGCTACCCAGGCCAAAATCCAGCCCCAGGCAGGGGAGGAGTTGCTTCTCAGGCAATTGTCAGTGGCTGTCAGGAGCTGCATGAAATGCCATACTGTAAAGACGAAGTGAGACTCAGGAGTTTGCATTTGTGGCATGCTCGCTCTGGAGGGATGCTGAGGGCTGAGCGCCTCCAAAGCTCCCATCCTACAAGCACTGAGCACTGGAAATGCTCAGTACCTTTCACTGCAGATCAGCCAAAAGGTCAAAATCTCAAACCTGTCACAAAGGCGGGAAAGGTTTGACACCATGGGAGACAGGGTCTGGGCTGACCCACTGATGATGTGTTTTATTGGGATGACTTCCAAGTAACTATCTTTTTTTTTTTTGGGAGGGGGTGGGGGTGAGGAGGGGCATTTTATAAAGCTGTTTGCTTTCTGTTTATTATTTTTGCATTGAGGAAATGCAAGTTTCTAAAGAAAAAAAATTGACAAAACTTTGCCATTTAAGGTCATTAATATGGTCTAAAGGAGACAATCCTGTTCTCGTTTTCCTTCAAATACAGAGATGCAGTGCAGGGACTCTTTGCCTACAGAGACCCACCATCACCACCCCCCAATTTCAATGAACTGACACTCAGGCACAACAACTGTGCCTGGGACAATTTTTTGAGCGCTGTGAAGGGCCAGGTCTCCAGGGTTTGGTGTCAGCCCAAGTCAGAGAGGCTTGCTGGCTCTTCCCAGCTCCTCTGAGCCCAGAAGCATCCCGCCACGTTGGGGACTGGGATGTGCCACTGGAAAGACGACCACTTGTTGTTGCACAGTAGAAGAGACCAAAGGTAGGAAATGCAACCAACCAACTGCCAGTAGCAATCAGTCATTTTAAAA